AGCCACTGACCGACAAGAACAAAACCGACCCGGGAAACTTGGGCGAAAGCCTCGATCCTGTGTATCGATCCGTGAATCCGTGAATCCGTGTGAATCAGAAAGTTGACTCGATGCCCGGTATCCGCATGGAAACTAAGCGAACCGCCATCTCATTGAGCGTCGAACGGTCTTTAGCCGGCTCGGGCTTTACGGAGGAAGGTATTGCTTGGCTGCCACACAAGCCCTGGTCGAACAATGCGTGGCCAACAGATTTTCCACCAGTGGCTCACTAATACATAGTGCACAATTTTGCTAGGCAATAATTTTTTCTCACGGCAGATATTCGGGAAACTGAATGAATGAACTGCCTACGACGTTTGTACACGCCGTTTTTTATGCCCAGTTCGGCGCACTTTAACATGCTTTTTCTACGCTGCCTAACTGACTGCCCCACACTGATAACGTGTGCGGCATCCTGTGGTAATTAAGTTTCGTACGTATATGCGTGTGCGGCATCCTTTGACACTTGTGGCGATGAACGACAGAACAAACTCAACTCCGGCAACTCGAGCGAAAGCCTGATCTTGTTTGTCAATCTGTGCGTCGATAAATCTGCTAAAAATCTTCGTGGTTAGGCTGGAGCAATAGAGGTAAACTGCTCGGTTCTGATTGGCCCATCACATGACTTACCTGCTCGTCCATTTTTGGTTCGTAGCGGTTTACGACACACCCGTGGCATGTTCTGCGGGTTCACGTATTTGTACACAGGATTGAGGCTTTCTCCCATTCAGGCATATCGTAGACACTGTCGGAACCAAGTCAAATGTTTTAATATGCATTGCTTAGTATTTTGGTTGATTTATCTGTAAGTATTGACGATATGCAACGTTGCATACTGCATGGGTTTCGGCTCATGAGGTTTCTGTATTCCATCCGCAGGAATCGTTGTGAACAGGTACTTTCAGAGAGTCACTGTCACACGGTGCTTCTATATTGTGCACATTACAGCACTTAGTGTCTTCAGACTAACCGCGTCAACTCTGTCCTCCAGGTCGTTTTCTTCAGAAGCTGATTGCCTTGTGAGAAGTGCGCATCGAGGGAGACGATGGATTGGCATTCGGGTAGACAATAACAGTGTTAGCTTGCTTGTGAAAACGACACTGCCAAAAGGGTTGTTGAGAGGCTCAGCCAAGCACATCGACTAGTGTCATCTTTTCGTGCTTGACTCTCCCACCTCTGCCACTCGACTACCCCTGTTTAGGCTTGGGCGACCTGGCAGTATCCCAGCCCTCGTTCCTCCTTCGTGTGGCATGGCAGCTAGGCGCGAAATGGTGCTATAGCCAAACGATTTATTTTTTATATTCCCCCACCGACCATATGTGAGTCATTTACTTGCACACTCCTCTTCACCCAGCTGTGTCGCGTGGAGAGCACAAGAAGCGGCAACTTGATGACTTGAGATAAAAAAGGATAACTAGTCAGCTGTAACACCCTTTCGGTGCCTAGCTGCCATGCCACGCAAAGGAAGCATGAGGGCTTGGATACTGCTAGGTTACCTAAGCCTAGACAGGGGAAGTCGAGAGGCGGAGGTTGGGCTCGAACCACATACCTTCCGGTCAGTAGATTCGCGCTCTAACCACTTGAGCCATCTCGCCCCTTGAGAGCGAAGCATGCAATCCCTCACCAGTTGGTGCGGTCGCGTTTATAATTATCTCCCCGGATGGGAACCTCGGGAGAAAGTAATCTATTGATTGATGGCCCTGGCAGATGTGGCTGTCACGCAATGGATGGCGATTCTGCGTCAAAGCTGCTGAATTCACTGCGTAGCTCTCTTCCTGCAATGTTGGACGAGCAGAACTACTTGACGTCAATGAACTGATTGAAACATCGCCTGTAGCGTGTGACCCTGTTGCGTCAAAGTGAATTCACTGCGTAGCTCTCTTCCTGCAATGTTGGACGAGCAGAACTACTTGACGTCAATGAACTGATTGAAACATCGCTCGCCGCGTGTGACCCTGTGTTGCGAGAGTCGAGTAGTTCCAGGACGGGATTAGAAGGGAGACAGAATAGGAAGACGTAATGTACGCTTTAATCGTCTAATAACTGTAGTACATGAGCTGAAAATAGAGTGAGAATCACGAGTTAATGGGCTATGCAAATGTACGGGTTATATAGTCATGACATTCTCCCCGCCTTGGAATAAGTGTGTACTTTGCGGAGAAAGAATGTAAAAAATAAAGGGCTGTGCTGTAATAGTGGAGTCGTTACGCCTCTCTGTTGCGTAGATTATATGGGTGAGTGCGCTGTTGTCGGATAAGAATGTCCAAGTGATTTCCTTTCCTG